GTGGCGCTTTGGTGTTGGGCGAAATTGTTATTGCCAGATGTAACTTAACGGTTCGGTTGATGGCGGCATGAAATTGCCTGATATTCCATAAGCAATCCCAAGTTGAAGATAACTGCAAGCAAAAGTGGTGCACAAAGAGACAAAACTAAACAAAAAAAGTAAAAATAAATAAATAAAAAAGAAAATAATTTTGTTTGACCTTAACCTTCTGTTGTCACCACTCCTGTGGCTACTCGTAGCGAAAAAGCTGCAGGAAAAATTGGCAATGAAAGTAACCAAACTAATTGCCTGTGAGGCAGTTGTTAAGGGGAAATTTCTGGATACCAACAGTAACGTAAGAGCAAGCATTCGTCGTAAATCGATGGGCGAGCTCATCCAACTTAAAGGTGCGAGTAAATACTGAAAAACTGGGTGCAATGCTGTTCACGTCGATACCCCAGACACTCAATGAGATGGAGCTATCAGTCAAGCATCACACCCAGTACATATGTACTTATGTGGAAGCTGAATATATAGAAGAGATTGAGAGAGGTGAATGGTACCTTTTGATAGTAATTGGTGCTTTGTAACCGCTGAAGCGATTTTCGGCCGAAATCCGTCTCCAATTTGTGGTTTTGCGTCCAGATGTTTTTCCTACAAATGGAAAGACCGACAGTTTATACTAAGTCGCCTCAAAACAGCTGACGGTTTTTATGAGAAGTTTTATTGGTACCCTTTACACATGTAAGCAGATGCTTGGTATACCACAGCGTGGAGTGTGTTCCCTGGTATCATGCATTGGTGTTACACGGCATTTGTTAAACCGATAACGCTCTACGGCGCTCTAGTGTGGTGGACCCCTGTAAAAAACCTAGTGTAGAAAACCATTAAAGTAATTGCATCAGTTCTAACGACGGTCCTTGAAACATTACTTGACCTACCAACAATCGACATCACAATAGAGAGCACAGAGCAGCAAAATGCGTCATGAGTTTGATGGTCTTTAGTAAAAGCTCCTTAAGAGCCTTCGGGTACAGCTCAAGAAAATAAACTACTTAGCCCTACGCTTTATCTGGGATGGAGAGTTCCAAGCTACGTTTAAAGCCGGCGGGTGAGGCATCGCTCGTCTGATGGAGTGGTCGTCAGAGTTTATTGCGCTGAGCTAGACCTCAGGCAAGAGGTAGACCTCAGGCAAGAGCTAGACCTCAGACAGAGCTCAACAGTATTTTCTAAATATACAAAATAGCAACAAATATGTCGAGGGTCAGGAGTCAAGTGAGGCAACAATCTCCCATCGTATTACATCAGAAAATTTTCCCATAGGCATGAAAGCGGCTGAGAGTGAAAAATTGCATATATATATTGGGTTCCAGAACACAGAGGTGTTATAGGTAACGAAATAACTGATGAGATCGTCAAAAGTAGCATCCGTCTTGCCAGGTAACCATTCGTAAAATTCGTTAAAAACTAACTAATGTAAGGAAATTTCCGAATGAGCTGGGTGCCAGATCGGAGTGAGAACCATCAAGGCCATGTACAATACCAGCAAATGGGATACTCATTTCGGCTAGTGCTCGGAGGAAGGCATTAGTGAGATATTAGAAAACCGCATCTTTTTCACTCTGGCTTTAGATACCTCGGAGCTTCGAAGTTCTAAGAGATGTAATTTGGATTTAAGGGTGCTCTTGAACTTCACCAAATGCCTTTTCGCTATAAAATGGGCCTCCATCTGGCACCACTATTGACGTATGGAACATTTTGACGCATTTTATGTTAAGATCTTAAATTTAAAGCGTACAATAAGTAGCTTGTACAAGAACTGAAGCCGCTCGATTATCCAAAGTAAAATCGTTTTGCTCTATGGGCTCTTGATGGTTTCAAGAAGATCCGACGTTTCCGAGCCAAATTTGATTCAGGGATGAGGAACATTTTTGGCTCAATGGGTATATAAACAAGCAAAATTCCCGCATTTGGGACGAAGAATAACCTGAAGAGATTCCAGAGCTGCCAATTTATTCAGAAAAAACAAGGGTTTGGTGCGATATGTGGGCCGGTGGAATCATCGGCCTATATTTCGTCAAAAATGATGCCAGTGAGAACGTCACCGCCAACGGCGATCGTATTGTCCCATGATAATGGACTATTTGTTGCCTAGAATTGGAACTCGTGATCTCGGCAATATTTGGTTTCAACAAGATGCAAATTCCCACACATCGCCTCAATCAATGGATTTATTGAGAAAATACTTCGGTGAGCAGATAAATTGGTCCGGTCAATTGGCCATCAAGATCGTGTGATATCTTACAATTTCACTTTTTCCAGTGGGGATATGTAAAGTCAAAAGTCTATGCGGATGATCCCGCTTCAATTAAGGCTTTGGAGCAAAGCATCACGCGTGCCACTCGTCAGTTACCACTCCAATTGAGCGAACAAGTCATCGAAAATCGGACTCAACAAATCGACTCAACAGATGGACCAACATTTGAACCAGATAATCTCCAAAAGATAAATGCCAAAGAATGTTTTTTCTATAAGTAGGGAACCTGGAAATGGATCACCCTTTATATACGGGATAAGTATTTAAATATTTACAAAAAAGTGTTTTTTAAAAATTCTAATTTGAGTGCCTTTAACCTCATTTAAACACAATCAAAAATACTAATTATAACAAAAAAAAAAAAAAAAAAAAACTGAGACTTAATTATAAATAAATCAAATCTTATTTACTCTCAGATTAGATTTACTGATTTAAAAACTTACTAGTTCACTGCAGTTTAATGCGCATTAGGGAAATTATTTAATTGCAACGCGCGTTTATGATTTTGATAAGCTAATCGCGCTCTTTTGATCTCTGAACCAGAAAATTTTAGTTTACTCATTTACATTTCTTCGTTTTATTACAATATAATTTAAGCTCTTTAAATTTGTTGTATTTTTTATTGACGCATTAGCCCACATCGCACTGATAAGCTTTATTAATTAGTTTTCATCTTACGCGGTACTCGCGAAGACCACTGCAGTCTCTTTTCTCCTAAAAAACCCGAAAAAATACGCTTTTCTCAGAAATTTATTTGATTCGAAATGAAATTATTGTGGTAAACGAAATTTTCCGACGATAATGTACAATATTTAAGCTTCAAAAAACAGTTTTTAATATCAAAAACTATTGGAATGTTCCAGTGTTGTGATGAGTTCTCTGAAGCGGCTGAAGTCTGAACTTGTGAAACAGTGCCCGTGATGGAAGTCGAACTAATTTATTTTGAATTTGAGTGTCTCTTCTATATGAACTGAAGGAAATATCGAAGAAGTTGGTAAATTCAAAATTTTTCCAATGTTTGGAAAATACAAATATTCTTCTGAAACAAGGTTACAAACCTTAACTATTTCGGTTTGTAGCCTGAAGTGAATTTTTTAGCTATCTTCCAACACTTTTAGTTCAGATATAAGTTAATAATGCTAGTTCACTTTGATTTCTTTCTCATATAAAAAACTTGAAAATCGATCTCAAGTCATCGATATTTAGCGAAGCAGAGGTGAATGCAATTCGATTATCAGGGCGCAGACAGTGGGGTTCACCTTTTTATGATTTGGGCAGAGCACACTTACGCTTCAAACGTCGGGGATCCTTTCGACTGATCACATTCTGTAAAGAAGCTGATGTATGCACAAGATCAGTTCTTCACCGCCGTACTTGTATAGCTCAGCCGTTAAAGCATCAGCTCCAGCAGCTTCCTTGTCCTTCAAGCGGACAATCGCTATGTACACCTCGTCATAGTCGGATAGTTCAACGAATTTGCCATCATAATCGATTGGGCTATGGGTTGCTCATCTGCAGTTGTTGAATTTTCAATGCCATTCGAATGGTTGGAGAGGTGTTCTCTTCATTTGGTCATACGTCCTCAGATTTCTAGCTTGATTCCTACAGGAGTATGCTCCGGTCTTAAAATCTTCTGTTAGTCACCGAGCATTATCTCTGTCAGCCAGCTCCTCAAGCACTTTTTCTGGCGATGCCGAAAACTGATTAGTTCCGTTGCAGCAGGTGCGTATCTTCACTGCGACAACGCAACGTTCGCACATCTAGAACAGCAGAGACCACAACATGATCAATTTGATTGCAATTTTACTTGCTCGGAAATCTGGCACTACACACAACCATATTTCGGCCCCCTGCGAAGTCGATCAGCCTCAGTCCGTCTAAGGATATTTCGTTATGAAAACTAAACTTTCCGTCTGTTGTGCCACAAATATCTTTTTTGCTCATGATAGGTAGTTTAAAGTTGTGATGGGGCAGCACTCATAGGCGTGTTCTAGGTGCTCATAGAAATCGTCAGTGGTCACATATAAGTGATATATTGAAAAATTTAGCTTTGATAGGAAGTGTGGCCAGAAGTTCATCCACCAGGATGAATGTGTCAGTACTCGGCGATGGGATCTCCCGCCAACCACAAATTCCACACCAAATCTGCGCACCTTTATATCAGCTCTGTGGTAGATTTCGCAAGGACCCCCCTTCTGTGGTCCTTGTCACGTCCATCGGACTCCTTGCACGGCAATATGTCAGCTTTAATGTGACGAGAAAATCCATCAGCTGGGCAGTGACACCTTTCCAAATCGTGATCCTTAAAACATTTCTGGGAGTTATCATAAATAGGGGATTCTCTCATCCGAGTGTGTGGAGTTTGTTTTTCATGTGGTGGGTCGGAAACCCTACACACAACCGCATGGGTTTCGCCTTTTCACTTTAGCTCACCTCCAAACGGCTGTTCGTTGGTAAGCCAGGTGATTTCCCAGGTGAATGGCAGTCAAAAACTTTCCGAACTGTCGTGAACTCCTACCCATCCTCCCTCACCATTACTATTTGTAAATTATTCGTGGATTATATACGCTGCGAATACATATACATATAATGTTATATTTATAATTTATTTATATATATTAATTTAATAAATTTCATTTTATTAAATTCCCTAAAAAAAATTGATTTAATAAAAAAAATATTATTACCATTTTTTCTTTCACAGCCGCTTTAGAAGAGGACTGCATTGACTTCCAAGGCAATTCGGTCAATCATGGCATGTTGTATGTGCCCGGACCGGGTGTTTGCAGTTTGTGTGTTTGCTATCACTCAGAGCCGCTCTGGTGCAAGGCGATCTACTGTGATCCACCATATGTGAGTAGATTGGGTACAAAGCTTTAAAAGCGGTCGAGCTTTTTGTACAGCCATCATTTTCAAAAGCTTAGTTAGCACATAAAACTAGAACTTTTAAGCCTTTTATGGGATTTAAGCATTAATTTAATTAATAAAAATTTATTATAAAAGCCTTAACATCTAAAAAATATCAAACAATTCTTCTTATAAATTACAGTTCTGTAAGAACTTCCGTGTAGGCGAACGTTGCTGTGAATTCGAATGTCTGGATCCGCCTGGCGAGGATAATAAATATCAGGTAATTACATTTAAATAAATAAAATTTGAGAGTTTTTAATTTTTTTTTATTTACTTTTATTTTTTTGTTTTTCCTTCGTCTTTGATTTCTGCCAGGAACGCATGCGAAAACGCGCCGAAATATTGGCTGGCAATAGCACCGCCTCGTTGCATCGCATCACGCCGCTCGCCGTGTCCACCATCGTGTTTACAGTTATAACAAATAGCTTCCTCAATTTATAACTTCAAGCGATGCAGTGCGAAGGAGGGACAATCGGTGGCTGGTGAAGTGTGTGGGAGCAGAAGAGATGGGGAGAGGTGTAAAATTGCTCTCAATTATAACATATGTACATATAGACGTACATACCTACATATAAAGTAGAAATGGGATGCGCCTTAAACATGATTGTTGTTGTTGTTGTTGTAGCAAGGAAACGGTCGATCGTTTGATGGTGGTTGGGGTAGTAACAAATTTTTGGCAGTTAAGAATATTTACTAACACTGTAGTAGCGTCTAGAAGATATATATGTATACATACATACATATTTATGTGCTTAGTATGTATACACATACATACATACGTATGTGTGCATATGAATTAAGCACATTTTTTTACATACATAAATACATACATACATACTTCGATATAACAATAAATCAGTGCAAAATTCAAAGAAAATGTGAAGAAAACGATCTTAGTGAATATCAGAAATCTGAAAATGAAAACAAAAAATATATAAAATTTGATTGTAACAAAATAGAAAAAAATTGAATAAAATTCAAAATGCTAATAAAAAATGCGAAAATTTTAAGCATATGGAAAATATCACTAAAAATTATAGGAAAAAATTAAGAATTCAAAAGTAAAATTAAAAAAAAAAATATTTAAAAAAGATTTAAAACTTAAAATGTAAACTAAAAAAAAAAATATTTAATAAAAAATTTAAAATTTCAAATAAAAAAAATATAAATAATTTCAAAAACAAATCACTTAATAATGCTAGTTAAAAAATATTATTAAATTGTAAAAAAAATCTCAGTTTGAGTAATTAAGAAATATTTGTAAAATGAGATTATCAAGTGAAATAAATAAGAATTTCTAAAGAATTTCTATTATGAAAAAAATGATAATAATTTTTGCAAAACTATAAAAATAAAACTCTGTGTAATAAAATATTCCTTGTAACTACCAACAATGCAGTTGTACATAAACAATTGAACAATACATACTAGGTTCTCATTGTCTCAAAATAATATTTACACCCTTACATAGATATGTATAAAAAAATATAGAAATCTGGTGTATAAAAAATAATGATTAAATAAAAATAATTCATAAACTATAGTAGTTTGTAGATAAAATAATTTAAAAAAAATATTTAATAAATAAAAATATTTAATAAAAAAAATATATATAATAAAAAAATATTTAATAGAAAAAAATTCAAATAATAGTTTGAAATTCTTGAAAAATAATTCAAAATAAAGAAGCAGTATACAATTAATTTAAAAAAAAAAAATCAGGCACTTATTGTCACAAAAAAATTATGTTATCACTAAAGAAAATTAAAAAATCAATAAATTATTATTTTTCAATACATATTAATACCCTAAAGTAGTCTAGAACAACATATCTACTTCAATGACTTTGCAAATAAATTCAAAAAAAAAAAAGTAAATATATAAACGAACAAAACATTTACCTACATATACACGTATGCATACATAAATATATGTATGTAAACTAATTAAAACATATGCATAGCAGAAAATATCATTTACATCTCAAAATTACATACATACACATATACATATATACATATTATTTTAATTGGTGCTAAGTAAATAGTGGTTAAACCAAATTTGCTATTAAAAATTGAATTTTTTTTTTCAAAAAAAAAAATCACATACATATATACACATATTTCCTATACCATTAAAGCAAAACTTTTATTAAATTGATTTTCACTCACATGTCTCGGTGCATATATGTACATACATATTATTTACATATTCAATGACTTTGCATAAAAAAATATAATAAAAAAAGTATTTAAATTACACTTTTATGCATATGAAAAAATTTAACATAAGTACATACATATTAAAAAAATACAAATAAAAGTAAAAAATAAAAAACCCATTTATACAAAAAAATGTACATATTTTGTAGCTCTGAATTCTTAGGTAAATGCTTATTAAATGGCATTAAAAAAAACACCAATATTTACAAATATAGATACACGCATATATACATACATTTGATTATTGTATAAATATTATATATAAGATTAAAATTTCAATAACTAAATATGTAAAACACTAATTTTACTATCCTCACGTAGATTATATAAAATATAATATAAAATTAACAATGGGAGGGCGTTAATACATACATACATATATGCCGAGTAATGTACATATATAGGTTATGTTGGAAACGGCTTTTTTAATGGCAATAAATTAATAATTTTCAAAATTAAATAAATAATAAAATGCAATTTTCTAAAGCAGAGTTGGTATGAAGCAATTTTAAGGCAGTAGCCTCCTTTAGAACCCGAAAAAAGGTGTTTTTTCGGCAATTTTTTTAAAAATGATTAAAAATATATTGCGCTATAGAAAATTGTCAGGCAATAATCCACTATATTTAAGCTTCAAAAAACAATTCTTAATATCAAAAAACTTTGGAATTTTCCAATGTTGTAATGAGTTTTCTGAAGCGGCTGCTGTATGAACTCGTTAAACGGAGCCGGTGATGGCAGTCGTGCAATGAATCTGAAACAGTCGAACTAAATTTTGTTTGAATTTTTATTATTATTATAATTGACGCTTTGAAACGATTTTTCGGCCAAGTTCCTCCTCCAATTTGTGGTTTTGCGTCTTGATGTTCTTTCCAACAAATAGGTCCCTCTACAGTTTATACCAAGCAGCCTCCAAACGGCTGATGGTTTCTTTTACGAGGAGCCTTTTTTCATGTCAGAAATACACTTGGAGGTGTTGACATTCCCTGCCGAGGGGCGACCGCAATTAGAAAATTTAGCTTGATTTTTTATTTAAATTAATTTTCTATAACTTTTGTTGGTCGAACGGGGATTTGAATCCGAGCCTTCCGCATGGCAGTACGCAATGCTAACCACTCGGCTAATAATAATAATGATAATTGGAAAATTCCTAATTTTTTCGTAGTTTGAAAAAATAATCACTTTTTTGAAAAAAAAATCACTTCAAGTTCCAGAAAAAAAAACTCTGAATAATACTTTTGTTCAATTTTTTAATTTAAATACAATACAATATAATTGAATACTGAAGCTAGTAGATCTCTTCGAAAAAACATATATTCACCATTTCCAAGACTTGTGAAAATGAAAACTCGAGAAAACGCGCTTCGAAATTCTGCCCGATCATCCGTACCTGCTCGACCGTCAGCCACTAAAACTACTCTAGCTTCCAAAATATGTCCAATTGGCCACTGAAATTTCAAGCACATATTTTTGGTTAATTTTAGTATGAATTTAAGAAGAAGTGCCTTTTTTTAAGTCTCTAAAGGAGACTACTGCCTTAAGGAATTATATTTATTTATATATTTTATTTTTTTTTTATTATTATACAATCAAAAGAATATTCAGTGTTACCAATCTCAGCTTAAAAAATTATACTGTAAAGCCTATTATTTTTAATATTAATCTTTTTTTTTGGATTCAAACTGCTCTCAGAGAGCACACAGTTATTTTTAAAAAAAATTCTTTCCCTCATTTTTCCACATTCTCAGTATATTAAACCTTTTCAAAGCTTATAAGCGTGCAAAGGCAAATTTTTACAATAGCTAAAACACAAAAGAAAATGTGTTGTTCTGTAAGAGAAAATTTGAAACTATTTTTGTCTAAAACACACAATTTTTAATGATACAGTAAACGGTTCTATGCGCATCGCTCAATGTTATGACTCAGTTATGCAGACTTAAGGTTAAGCGACCACAGCCGTAACCATAGTCACTACAATAAATCTAACCATAAACAGCTGATGCCTTCAATTTCAATTTGAAAGTCGTAAAGAACGCTGAATAAATTAGCAGAGGCAAAGAAATTGATAAGGTATTGGTGTGTTAAAAAAAAAAAACAGTTTAAACACAAAAACGATGTTCGAATGCGGATTACCAAAGAAAAACGCGATCAGAAGATAATGGATTGGAAATTTTGGTAAAAATTCAAGTAACGTACATTTTGAGAGTAACCTCGCTTATCTTGAAGTGCAGGGATATCCATTGAGAGGTTTCGGAAATAAATAAAATAATAAAATGCTTTAAAACTTTTTTTTTGAAACTCCTTTCCAATGCGACAAAAAATGTACAAAAAATCGACGTCCACTACTTGCTGTTTAAACACCCAATCGACGTACGTATGTTGTAAATGGTAAGCTGGCTTAAGTTGTTGTTCAGCTGGATGTATTTGTAAGTCCAAGTGCAAACTTCGCCATAATGCGCCGCAACAGAGTTCCAGCTCTTGAGAACGTCGGGAAATAAACACATTCGGATCTTTGACTACACTTTCTCCTTCAGTGTCGATCATTGTAGTGGAATGAGCATAGGGATGCTGCACAGGCCTTATAATATCTGTAACCGTTTACCATAATCTCTTCCTAAAGCACGAAACGTGGTTTGCATCGCCTTTTTGCTATGGGTTTTAACAATTTTAACGTGTTGTGTGGCTGTCAAGGGTTTTATTTTCATAAATGCCTGTTATTTAAGGAAAACAAAACATATTGCGTTTTACAGTTAAGTTTGCCAAATTTCAAAAAACAATACTGTACTTTTGCAACCACGAAATGGATAACCCTATATGCATTTTGTGAGGCGATTAAGCTCTCAATTAATTTCCTAGAAACTACTATTGTAGCCTAGAATATACATATCTAGAATTTAGATCAATCACTCACAAGGTCCTGAGGAAATCATTGTTTCTTGATGTTGATAAAAATAATTTATTTTTTCGAAAAACGGTAACTGAGATATTGAACTTGTAGTATCGGCGTAAATTGAAATGATGAGCCGTATACGATTATCTAAGCTTATCAACTCATGGGCTTTGGTGCACTTTGTCTCATTTTGTAAAAAATAAAAAAATAGATACTAAATATCATTGCAGTGTAGCTACAACAAATATAATGATAATACGCGGAATTATATGTATTTTGAGGTTGAGGGACTTCAACTTCAACAATAGCGCACATTGCCTTTCCCCAGACGCCATTAGCTATTTTCTGCTTTATATGAGTATGGCTATGGCATCTCTAACTTAACTTTTCCATAGAATTATTCACCTTGTAGGCTGGAATAATCGACTTTCCGATAAAATTTGACATAGTTTAAGATCAACGTTTCGCCTGCTCCCATTTCGTTTCGTTCAGTTCAAGGCGAATTCAAATACGGTGAAGTTGGCTGCACAGCTGTTTTCTTCTCATATCAGTTGCTGGATTTCCAGAAAGAAAGTCAAGCAAAGAGTGAAATGTAAACTAACGATTTCCAATTGTAATTGAATTTAGTATTTTGACAAAATATTATTAAGCTCACAAATGAATATTTTGAATTTCTTGCGGCAAAATTATTGTTTTGCAATTGATTGATGCAATTTTTTTGCCCCTTTCGCCAACGCGGCCACCTGTAGTGTATTCGCCTTGTTTAGATTTTTAAATTACAAACGAAGCCTCGTCCAAGAAATTCGACTTGGCTCATTGGGTTTTGATTGGGAAAATCAAGTTTAGAAAG